CTGCTGCGCCCTGGGGGTCCCTCCCTGGCCAGGATAGAACTCATGCTGCAGTGATGTGGACAGCGTCATAAGACTTTGCTTAGCTATGTCCTTGCACCACCAAGGAGGCCAGTCAGTGTTGATTCTGATTCTAGTGTAGCAACGGGCGTGACTGAGAAAACAGCCCCGTGGAGAGACTGGCATCGCATATCAGCACGTCCAGTGTGAGGAATCTTGAAACTCCCATACCGATTTCTTGTGCCAGAGTGATCATCAGATTTTGAAATGAAATTATATTCATGTATTCAGCGGAATGTTCTGCAAAATCACATAGGAAAACAGAGGAGAAATTTGGGGTGATATCTAAATAATGTGAATGAAAGAAGAGGAAAGAAAGAAATGGCTGTAAGGAGCCATTAGAAGCAGAAGAACAACACTGGGAATACGGTGTCTGTGGGCACGTGACTAGAACACAGCTGAGTCTGTCAACCGTGTCACATGCAAGACCAGGCTCAGAGAAACGGCCACACGGCATCACTGCGCCTAGGTAGCTGTTAATATTTTCAGCGCCGTGGTCTACTGAAGTCATAAATAGTTGGAGAATAAACTTCAAGTGAACATAATTGAAGCTTTCAGAATTGAAATCAGAAAATGTTTGCTCTGTAGGTGACATGACACAGTCCCATCAGTAGCTGATAAGTGAATCTGAGTGTGTTTCAGCCCACAAGCACAGTCAGCAGTCATGGACATGAGGAGGCCGCTTCTGTGTGGCCTCTTTCTGCAGGACATTCCTCACTAGCTAGTGATCCCTCGTGCTTAGTGGTCTCTGTGTTTTATCTGAAAGAAACAGAATTCAATATCTGTAATACTAGGAGATGGCATCAGTGTTTGGGGGAGCTCACAGGAATGTTTCTGTGGCTGGGTGATGATGGTGTTAGGTCACTGGAAGAAACTTCTCCTCTGCTGTGTCAGATGAAGCTGTATATGTATTGTACTGGAACTTTCCCTTAAGTATTTATAACTTATTGAGAAAGAAATTAGGCAAGCCAATGAAATGGAACTAAATATTATTTTTAAAAAGATTTATTTACTTATGCATACAGAACTGGGGTACAGGCCAGAGGAGCAGAGGGTGAGAGGCTTCGCCAGAGACAGAGTAGGGAGCAGAGCAGGCAGACGAAGTACACTGCTGAGGGGAGCAGTGGGTAGGTCAGCAGAGGTCTGCTGCACCCTGTGGTCACCTCTTGGGTGGAGATCGAACTCACACTGAAGTAGCTTACGCTTCTTAGTGCTGTGCTTTAACCTGCTGCGCCACCAGGGAGGGCCAGATTTTAGTATTTTTTACAAACATTTTGTCAGCAAAAAAGATTTTAAAATAAATAATACTTTAACAATTATTTACATCAACTACAAGTTTTATTATATAATTATAAAATTAGTGAATTTAACATTTATTTTTAATGATATAGGGAATTAAAGAAGAGCTATGAGATCAGACAGTTCAGGTCAGTCATTACTTGAATTTTTTTATAGATACATGATTTTTTTATAGGTACATGAATATGGCCTACATATTACCTTGATTGCAACATAAACTACATTTTTCACTAGATGTAAGCTCACAGTATTTGGAAAACAAAGTTTCAAACCAACTGAAAATTGCATTGAAAGAGTAGAAAGCATGAACAAGATTCTAAAAAAAGATTTATTTATGCATAGAAAACCTGGGGGGTAGGCCAATGTACGGGGGGTCAGAGAATTCACCAGAGACAGAATGGGAAGTAGAAAAGGCAGATTGACTGAAATACACTGCTGAGGGGAGCAGCGGGGAAACAGAAGTTGGCTGTGCCCTGGGGGTCGATTCCCTGCCAGGAAGTGAACATGGGCCTTAGCTGTCATAGTGGTGAGGCTTAATCTCTGCGTCTCCAGGGAGACATGAAGGCATAAACAATTTTAAGAAACATTATTAAAAATTATATTGCTTGCTTTTGTAAATGAATCACCTTTCCCTTTCTGAGTCGTATCTGTCTCAGTTTTAGGTCCAGACTGGGAACAAGTCATGAGCCAGGGATGAGAAACCACACAGCCATAACCACCTTCATCCTCCTGGGGCTCACGGATGACCCGCAACTGCAGATTCTGACTTTCATACTTCTATTTATTGCCTACATGTTGAGCATAACAGGAAACCTGACCATCATCCTCCTCGTTTTAGTGGATTCCCACCTTAAAACTGCCATGTACTATTTTCTCCAAAATTTTTCCTTCTTAGAAATCTCATTCACTACTGCCTGTATTCCCAGGTACTTGTACAGTCTGTCCACAGGAGACAGGACTGTTTCCTACAGCGCTTGTCTAAGTCAAATATATTTTGAATATATTTTTGTAGTAACAGAATTTTTTCTCCTGACCATCATGTCCTATGACCGGAACGTGGCCATCTGCAAACCCCTGCACTATGTGACCATCATGAACCCCAGGGTCTGCAAAATGCTTGTCTTCTGCTGTTGGATGATGACATTTTTGTTGATAGTCCCACTATTTATTTTGCTATTGGGTCTGGAATTCTGTGACTCTAATGCCATCGACCACTTTGCCTGTGATGCGAATCCTCTCATAAAGATCTCATGCTCAGATACTGGGCTCGTAGAGCGGATGGTCATTATCTGCTCGGTGTTGATCTTCATCCTGACTCTCATGTGTGTGGTTTTGTCCTATGCTTATATCATCAGAACAATCCTGAGGTTCCCATCAGCGCAGCAAAGGAAGAAGGCGTTTTCCACCTGCTCGTCCCACATAATTGTGCTTTCTATCTCCTACGGCAGCTGCATCTTTGTCTACACCAAACCTTCATCAAAAGACGACATGACCATGAATAAGGGGATCACATTATTTCCTACTTCCATCTCCCCCATGTTGAACCCATTTATTTATTCTTTGAGGAACAAACAAGTGATACAAGCCTTTAACGACTTAGTCACAAAATTGTACTCCTCTCAGGGAACTAGGGCAATGTTGAAGTAATATTCCATAAATCTTTTATTTCTATACCATTTATTTGCCTCTTTAAAATCTATTTTTCGATAAAGTAGAAAGTTCCATCAAAGAACAGCTTACTTTTCCTTATAGACTATCCTATTTGCTGAAAAAATGTACATGAAGAAAAGTGATGAAGGCAGTCATGTCTTTATGTTTATAACAACATATGTGAGTAAATGCAGAGATATAACTGAATGAATGCCCAGACAAGAACAATATTCCGAATTTATGGAATCAGAATTGCCTTTTTGGAAACTGAGCATGAAACCTAAAAACAGTAGAACGTTATCATGCTCTTTAGTGGTGATAATTTCAGAAACCGTTTTGTCAAATCTTTAGACAGGTTAAGATCTCCTTTAACAAATTCATATGTTATTTATTCAAGATTTGCTTTAAAGAGGAACTAGTGATGAATATTTCTTAAGAGGGAAATAAACTTTGGAATATAATGATGAAATCTCCTATCCGTGCATAGGATATGTAATTTAAAGCCAGACGTAAAAGAAAAACTTTCAATCATCCAACTATGTTTTTATGATCGATAGCATCTTTACAAGGAACATAGACTTGCTATATTATTTCCTTATGTAGTTATTCATGAACGAGGACTCCAAGGTAAATGACATCCAAAACCTTTTCTTTTTTTAAAGATATTTATTGGTTTATACCCTTTCATATCTTTTTGTCTCAATATGCTACCTTTTTCAACTGTTTTAAAACATCTGCTTGATACCAAACATTTTATCTTTTATGCTTAGTTTTATTGCTTCCATCATTAAAAAATTATGCCAAAAAATGTCAATTTATATTTTCTCTATATACATACTTCCTAGCTTGAACAAAGCGTCTAGACATTGTCTGCATTTCACAGTGATTTCCAGAATTGAGAGCAATATATAGTAAGTCTCAATTTATAATAACTTCCACATTCTCGTGTCTAAATATCTCTGTCATTCACTATGTAAAAAATGACAGTTAATGCTATTTCTTTTATCTACTCTCATGTAGTCAGCCACTACATGGATTCTAGTTTATTCTTTAATAATGAATGAAAAGATATGTTTCTAGGTTAATAATTCTAACAAAGGAAAACTAAGTCCTAACCACAAAGTGTCCAAATAGCTAATGTTTCCTAGTGATCTGTTGATCTCTAAGACACTGATTGCCACACTCATTTAATTAATAAGAATATAGTGAGGTACAAATTTTTTTTTGAGGTACAGATGTTTTTATGTCAATAAATGCTGTACCTTTATATTCAATAGTCATTTAACATGTTTGATCAAAAAAAGAAAACTCAAATTAGCTTCTACAAATCAATAGTAAGCCTGCCTTTGATTCCCTCAAGAATGGTCTGAGTTTATATTTTGAAAAACTCTGAAATTCCAAAGTATTTTTATATGCACATATTGGGCACCCTGCATTTCATCACGGCTGGTGGTAATGTAACCAGCTACAAATGTTCTTACATTGTAGGAAATTTTTTAGTGATAAATTAAAAATATACTTAAAAGTGTGATTCATTGTAAAAAAGTAGAATTTGTTTTCTGTAAGTTTTCCACCTCATTCTTACCACTACATATAATTTTGCACTGACAGAATATAGGAGGTTGAGTAGCAAAAATGCTGCCAAGCCAGCGCCTCAGAGAAATGGGAAAAAGCCACTAAGGCTGTTAATTCCAGCCCCTCAGATACCAGGGCGCGGGGTTAAGCCTGCTTACTTCTGACTGGCAGTAAGGTGCTTAAAATACTTGTCTGACTTACTATGAGGCAATGTTCTCTACATAGACTGTATATTCCAGTGTGTCTAGGTTCCGACCAGCCTAGTTTGTTTGAGCAGCTGAATTGCATGTAAAGATCCAGAGCATGTGCAGTTCTTTCTTTCTTGACTTAAAATTCAACCCAATTCCATTACTGTACCAAAATCTTTCCTGAGGTAACACTTTTTGAGGCTGTTTTCTGGACATACTATGTATGTGGAAGCATGAACCTCCCTGAACATGTGACCAGCATGGACTGGGGAATGAGGGTGGAGGGCAGTTTGATAATAGCAGCTATGAGATACGTTATGAACTATGTCCCCAAAATAGAAGGGGCGCTGTACTGATTCCTGTGTCAACTTGATGAGGCTAAGGAACACTCAGATAACTAGTAGAACATATCTGAGCATGATTCTGAGGGAGTTTTGGGGAAGAAATTAGCACATGATGGATGGGTGGCATAAATAGAATTGTTGTTTCTAGTGCAGGCAGGCATCCTGCAATCCACTGAAGTCTGACTAGAATAAGTCAGTGAAGTGTAGGCAACAAAATGAGCTTAAAAAATTGGTTGCATTTCTATATGCAGATATCTAAAAGAGGAAATAGCAAAGAAAACAATCCCATCAAACACAATTAGGTGTAGTGAAGCTAGATATTATGAAGTAATTGAATTTTCTACACATGAAAAGTATGAAATATTGTTGAAAGAAAATAAAATGTGAAGAAGCCGAATGCTATTTTGTACTTACAGATTGAAAGAGTGAACACAGTCAAAATGGCATCTTATCTGAAGTAACAGATTGGGTGTAATTCTTATATGAATTCTTTGTCATTGTTTAAGGAAATAGAGTGCGAATTTAAAAAATTTACATAAAAACACAAAGGCCCCAGATAACCAAAATCATCTTTACAAAAAGGATGAATAAAGATATTACAGTCCTGACTTCAAAGTATACTGCAAAGGTAGGTATAGTCATCAAAGCAATATGATGATTAAATAAAATGAACACTCAGGTCAGTGGAATAGAATTGAAAACCTAGAAGTAAGCCCACACACATTGACTATTGATTTGTGCTTATTAGGCAGGAACATATACTGGAGAAATAGTCTCTTTTCAACAAATGATTTTGGGAACACTGGACAGACACCATGTGCAAAATAGTGAACGACAGCTCTTCCTAACACTATACAGAAAAATTAATTCAAAATGCATTAAATGTGGTACCTGAAACCACAAATTATGTAGATGAAAACTAGGAGAGACATCCTCAATATTGGCCGTTGAGATACTTTTCTCAATGTGTAGATGCCCTCTTTTGGTGTTTAATTTTTAAAAGTGTTTTTTCTTCTACAAAAGGTTTATTTATTTATGATTACGGGGCTGGGGTACAGGCCAGAGGTGTGGTGGGTGAGAGGATTCACCAGAGATAGAGTAGGGAGCAGAACAGGCAGATTGACAAAGTAAACTGCTAAGGGGAGCAGCAGGCGGTTCAGAAGAGGTCTGCCATGCCATGTGGGTCAGCTCCCTGGCCTGGGATCAAACTCGTGCTGCAGTGGCTTTGTAGAGCTTCATAATGTAATGCTTTAACCCATTGTGCCATGAGGGAGAGCCCCGATATTTAAAAGTGCTTTTAAGTTAGTATACACGATGCTTATACAATTACTGAACATTTACTGAACAAAACATTCAATCATCTTGACAATGGATCCATATATTTCTTCAAGAAGTCTTTGTGGTTTAGAGATATTATACTCCAAAGACAGCAAAATATTTTGTTTAAACTGATACTCAACTGGCTAATGTCCTAAAGAGCTATGTATTATAATATTTGTATGATTTTGTATGGTTGCATGGAAAAACCCATATTCAATATCATTCTCAATGGAGAAAAGCTGAAGCATTTCCTTTAAGATTTGAAACAAGACAAGGTGTCTGCTCTTATCTTTGCTGTTCAATATAATACTAGAAATAGCCAGTGATATATATCTTCAGTGTCTGGTCACTACCCAATAATAAGGCAAGAAAGACATAGGGGGACTTGCCCTGCTCATGGGTTAGAATTAACATCAAAATGGCCTTCCTACCAAAAGCAATGAACAGATTCAACACTATTCCAGTAGAAATTCCAGTGACATTCTTAAAAGAATTAGAACAAATATCTATGAAATTCAAATGAAACCACAAAAACCCTGCAAATAACCAAAGCTCTCCTGACCAGAAAGGAGACTGGAGGTATCACACTCACAGACTTCAAACTGTACTACAAAGCAATACTATTTAAAACTGCATTGTACTTGAACAAAAACAGACATATAGACCAATGGACTCAAGTAGAAAACCCTGAAATAAACCCAGATACTTATGGACAACTAATATTTGACAAAGGAGCAAAGAATATGCAATAGAACAGGAGCAGTTTGTTCAAGAAATGGTGATGATAAAACTGGACTTCCACATAAAAAAAAAATGAAGCTAAACTACTTCCTCATACCACACACAAAAACCAGCTCAAATGGATAAAAGAATTGATGATAAAACTGGACTTCCACATAAAAAAAAATGAAGCTAAACTACTTCCTCATACCATACACAAAAACCAGCTCAAATAGATAAAAGAATTGGACATAATACCTGAAACCATAAAATATACAGAAGAAAATATAGGCAAAATACCATATGATATGCATTTCAGTAACATCTGTAAAAACACATCCTGCAAAGCTAGGAAAGTGACGAAAAGATGAATAGCTGGCACATCAAATTAAAATTTCACCAAAATAAATAGGCACACTACTGACTGGCAGAAAATCTTACATGTAATACTACCAATAAAGGACTGAACTCAAAAGATCTCCAAAGAGCTTACATGACTTAACAAAACCAAAGTAAACACTACACGGCATACACCTCAGTAACGTCTTTCAAGATACATCACCCAAAGTAAGGATAGTGAAAGGAAGGATAAACAGCTGGGACTATATCATATTGAAGCAAAAAATATATTACATAAAACAAATAGACACCCCGCTGACTGGGAGAAAAGTTTTGCACATAATACAAATGATAAAGGACTGATCACAAAGATACACAAAGAGCTGATGAAACTCAACAAATATAAAGTGAAAAACCCCATAGGAAAATCAGCAGAAGAGCTACAAAGACACTTCTCCAAAGAGGAAATGCAGATGGCCCACAGGCATAGAAAAAAAGGTTCAGCATCACT